CGTTGTCCGTGAAATATAAGCCTCTGGCATATTCTGCACCGAATCGAAAGATATATTGTTACATAAATATTTCTTCGTTTGAATTTAAAACATAGATTTTTCCAAAAACTTTTACAAACGTTAATGCCATCATATTTATCTAAAAAGCAGTGTTTGTTCCTATGTCTCTCTTTCTGTCTCTGTCAATATATATATATATATATATATATATATATATATATATATATATATATATATATATGCCTTATCGATATTGTAATGCATATTTATCCTTATCGATCGGCACACAAAGTGCGCGCCTTTGCAAAGCGATTGTTTACATTCGTACTGACCCATGATGATCAGGGGCGGTTTATAGTTTGCCTCAGGCTCCTGCATCACCAGCAGCGGTTTACCTCTGGAAGCTAATCGAACACAGAGTCAATTTGATTTCGAATCGCCATTCCTTAAATCTCTTCTCTTTCAAATTACGAAACGGCTTTTTTTTTTTTTTTTTTTCTTGGCTTGGTTTCTTGAAGTCTCCATTAGCCAACTTTATGGCCTGACACATTTTATCTCGAAAAAAAAAAAGATCTTTCTTATTTAACCATACCCACATCCTGCCACCGTAATGTTCGAAAAGTGACCCCGACGCAAGAAAAAAACAAGGAGAAGGAGAAATGGTTTATGGTCTTGTATTTTGTTTTTCGCCAGAAGATTATACCCTAGAAAAACCCGGAAATTTTAGATTTTATATATGACTAGCAGTAGAGCCCGGCGTTGCCCGGGGATGTAACAGTAAGAGTTAAATCAATTATCGACCATCATAAAGACTGAAAAATAAAATTGACAAAGATTATTGTTTAAGGTTGACAGACACGCATGTCTTAATTAGTTTTTTTTTTTTTTTCTACGAATTGATCAAACCCAAACTGAAACAAAAACATTGTTTTCAATTGTATATATATTATTTAATTTGTTTTTATTATAAATAAAACTACACTCACCAAAAAAAAAAAAATAAATAACATTACATTTCTTTACGGTAGTGCGTGTTGATTTTCTGCACCGAAAGTCTGTAAAAGAAGTAAATAGGGCAACATTTATGCTTACGCCACCGGATGTACCCCATAGTGAATTACTGAAAATTATGGCAGTAATGGCGGAAGAATGACCAACAAGAAGTCCTATTTTTTCTTGTCGATAACTCCAAAACGGTAGGTTTCTTCATAATTTAATTGTTAATTCAAGTTCAGCATGTACATTTACACGGAATTATGACGATTTTGGAAAATTTTAAGAGACACTTAGCGCGCAGGCTTTGGGGCTTTAAAAACCAAATTTAGCGATTATAAATTCCGCTTGACAAGTATCTTGACAATGCTGATGTACTCGGAAACTTACTTTGCCGACCTATTCTAAAATCGTTGTCGATATTCCTGTCGAAATTATTGTTAATGCTTTCTTTCGCTTTATAAAATAATCAACGACTCGTCTCCCTTTACTACATCAGTGTTAATGCTTTTTATTTGTCGAAGTCATTGACAGAGCTTTTACTTGTGACATTGTCCTAGCTAATGTTTTCACCTTGTCAAATTTATTGCTGATGTATTTCTATTTAAAATCCTTGTCAATGTTTTTGTTGCAGAGAAAGTTGGAGATGTTTTTCCCCTTTTTCAAAATAAGTGAAAATGATTTGCTCTATAAAAGCATTTCAAATGATTCCCTCTTCATCAGATCATTGCAAATCTTTATTCTTGTCAAAATCGTTTCAATTCTTTAAGCTTGTAGACGTTTTCGAATATTTCTTATCAAAAATTGGTGAAAATACTTTCTCTTAACAAAGGCATCGCCGGCGCTTTTCAATTGTTAAAATTATAGAGAAAACTTTTTGTCAAATCAGTACCAATCTTTCCATCTTGTTAAAATCATTGCCAACGAGTTTCTCTTTTGGGAGACTTTGCTAATGCTTTTCTCCTGGTAAAACTATTACCGACGATTTTGTCAAATCACAGCCGATGTTTTGCTGGTGTCAAAAACATTGTCAATGATTTATTCTTATTAGAAATATTGCCAAATATCTTCTCATAAAACTATTGGCAACGCTTTTGTCAAATTACTGCCAATGCTTTCCTCTTGTGAGAGAAATTGTCAACGTTTTTCTCTTGTTAAAACTATTTCTAAAGCTTTTGTCAAATCCCTACCAATGCTTTGCTCGTGGCAAACCATTGTCAATGATTTTCTGTGGTTAGAAATATAACCAACGCTTTTTCCTAAAACTATTGCCAAAGCTTTTGTCAAATCGCTGCCAATGCTTTCCTTTTGTGAGAGAAATTGCCAACGCTTTTCTCTTGTTAAAACTATTTTCAACGCTTTTGTTAAATCCCTGCCAATGTTTTATTCGTGGCAAACCATTGTCAAGGATTTTAGAAATATTGCCAAAGCTTTTTTACCTAAAATTATTACCAACACTTTTGTCAAATCGCTGCCAATGCATTTCTCCTGTCAAATTATTGTTAATACTTATCTCTTGTGAGATGCCAACGCATTTTTTGTCTCGTTTAAACAACTTATAACGCTTTTGTTAAATCATTTGGTCGTGTCAAAACCATTGTCAATGATTTTCTTTTGTTAGAAACACTGTCAAAGCTTTTATCTTCTTAAACCTATTGCCAAAGCTTTAGGCAAATCAATACCAATGTTGTGCTCGTGTCAAAACCATTGTCAATGACTTTCTCTTGTTAGAAATCTTTCAGTTTTTCTCTAAACACTATTGCCAATGCTTTTGTACCATCACTGCCAATGCTTTTCTTCTGAAAAAATCATTGCCAATTCTTTTCTCTTGTGAGAGGCATTGCTAACACTTTTCTCTTGTTAACAATATTTCCATCGCTTTTGTCTAATCACTGACACTGTTTTGTTCGTGTCAAAACGATTGTCAATGACTTTGTCTTGTGAGAGACAATGCAAATGCAATTCTCCTGTTAAAACTTATCCCGACGCTTTTATCAAATCAATGTCAATGCATTTTCCTGTCAAAATCATTGCCAATACGTTTCTCTTGTGAGAGACATTGCCAACGTTTTTCTCTTGTTAAAACTATTTCCAACGCTTTTCTCAAATCACTGGCAATGTTGTGCCCGTGTCAAAATTATTGTCAATGATTTTCTCTAGTTATAAACATTGTTGTCAAAGCACTATGAAAGTGTAATAATAGGATACCAGTAATAAATTCTTTGAAAATATTATTACCAGCAATACATTTTTGGAGAAAAAAAATAAAAATTATCAGCAATAAAAATCTCATCGGCATTAAATAACACATTGAGACTAATATGCCGTAAAACAAAACAAACCCAAACAAACTATACATTTTTTAAAAGAAAAATTACCAGCAATAAAAATCTCATCGGCATTAAATAACCCATTGAGACTAATATGCCGTAAAACAAAACAAACCCAACCAAACTATACATTTTTGGAAAAACAAAATTACCAGCAAGTCTTGTCGGCATTAAATAACCCATTGATACTGCTATGCCGTAAAAACAACAAACCTCCAACCTTCTCTATAGTCATCCCAACATGACGACGCGTTGCTGGCAGCACAAACGGGCGTAAATCGAACTATCTCAGGTTGAAATAAAACTGGCTCCAACCCAAAATGGGACCGGAAATCAACGATTTCGATTTTTTTTTTGTAGTTTGACCCCCAAATGTTTTCAGTTATTGACTCTTTTGTTCCTTTCGCTAAAAATTCTTTAATTCAAATATTTTATTCCCCGGCCATTAAAAAAATCGAAATACTTAAGATCAATATAAAATCACCTCCTTCTATGTGGGTGTCTATATCTCTAGGGACATATTGTATACCCTGCGTTAGTTACTTCGGATTTCCGAAAATGGATAATTCCTTTGGCGTTCGCCTCCCACACCAACTGAGTTAAGAGTGCCTCACACTGCGTGACAAGGGAGTAGTTGGAGGAAGAAAATGAAACCAGTTGCCAACTAGGAATTATGATTAAGTTAAAAATTAATGTCGTGGGTGGGGGTGTTAAAGAAACACCTAACGGTTGGTTAAGTGTCCAAAGTTTGGAAGGAACCTGAGTTCACACACTATGGCAAAAATATCTAAAGGATATAGGATAACGAAAATGAAAGAGATTCCGTTGTTCTGGAAGATTTTAATGTATTCAAATACAGAAAACACTTGTGAAAAGAATCATATATTCAGTTCCAGTATTAAATAAATAAACAAAACTTGAGTTGATCCCGTACAAGTTAACACAAATGAATTTCGCTTTCCCCTATTTGAACAGACCTTTAAACTTAACGCCGTACAACGCAAACAATACACTGCTATTTCTGCAATTCTTGGATTGAACTTCAACTCGGCACAAACATATTTAAACACTAACCTTTGCGACCTGTAAAGTCTCTAGTTCTTATACAGGGACATATTTCTCAATAACTTTTTAACTCGAGGCCCATGCATCGTGTTCATATTGAAAAGGTTGTAAAAGCTATTATTGAGAATAACAATCAGGCTTCGTCAGTTTTACAAATTAAATATCGTCACAAAACGAAAAGTAATGGAGGCAAAACGATCCTTCAGGCAGACGTGTTTCACCATTTTGAATGGTTTCGCGAAAGAATAAAATAGGTGACAATTGCCACTTTAAAAAAAATTCAGATTGCATTCTAGATTTAAATGAGGCATTTATATTATTATTTTTTGTATTATTATTAACAAACCACAATTTATTGCTGTAAAGCAACAACAAATTCATATCATTCTTTTCCGTTTAGCCGCCATTTTCCCCTTCACTTCTTGATTTTGCTCAGAACGAGTCCTACATATTCCTTGTCTATCGCTATTTCCTCTTGTCTTTTTGCCTTCAGTTAAATAATTTCTTTTTTTTTTAAGTAATATTTTCTTCTTTTCTGACTACTTTCCATTTTTCTTCATTTATTTTTCGCGCCTTTCTCTCTTTAATATATATTCTTTTTTTTTCTTCACTATCTTTCCGTTTATTTTTCATTGATTTTATTTTTCCTTCGTAGTTCCTAATCGTTTTCTTTCTTCTCCCCTTTATTGTGATTTGTTTTTATTCAACTTGAATTTCGTTTTACTTACTTAATTTTCTCTGGACTTACACTTTATCGTTCTATTTATTTATTTTCATTTCTTACTTTATTTCTCTTTAACTGGTTCATTTAGTTTCATTTTAATATCGCCATGTTTCGGTTGTTACTTTATCTCTCTTCATTAAATTAATTCTTTCTTTCTTTCTTATTCGTGTAGATAACATACTCCTGTCTTTATTTCTTTCTTTCTTTCTTTCTTATTCGAGTAGATAACATACTTCTTGCTTTCTTTCTTATTCGTGTAGATAACATACTTTTTTCTTTCTTTCTTTTTCTTAGATAAATCAGGTAGATCTTATCTTTTCTTTTCTTTTAGATTTCTTTTTCTTTCTTTCTTTTCTAGATAACATCTTTTGTAGATATTCATAGATTTTTTTTCTTTCTTTCTTATTCGTGTAGATAACATACTTCTTTCTTTCTTATTCGATTAGATAACATACTTCTTTCTTTCTTTCTTTCTTATTCGTGTAGATAACATACTTTTTTCTTTCTTTCTTAATCGATTAGATAATATACTTCTTTCTTTCTTTTCTTTTTTCTGTCTTTCTTTTATTCGTGTAGATAATAACTTTCTTACTTTTTTCTTTCTTTCTTTTCTTCTTTCGTTTATTTAATATACTTTTTTCTTTCTTTCTTTCTTTTTTTCTCATCCGGGTATTTTATCTAATTCTTTTTTCTTTCTGTTTCTCTTTCTCCTCCCCCCTCCCTTTGTTATTTTGTCTTTCATCAGTCCTTTAATTCTTTCTTTATTTCTTGTTCGTCTTTCTTTCTTATTCGGGTAGTTAATCTACTTCTTTCTTTCTTTCTTTCTTTCTTTCTTTCTTTCTTTCTTTCTATTTCTTTCATTTAGTTTTTTTTTCTTAATGTCACTTTTTATAGGTTAATGCTTTTATTTTTCTGCATGATCTTCTTTCTTTCTTTTCTTTGTTAGAAAACCTTTATTTTTTTTTTTTATCTTTAAACTTCTTCCCTTTATCCGTCATTCTTCCAGAATTTTCGTCTTTATTGTCAATTTCTTCGTGCTTATTCTTCTGAATTCTTCGAATCAAATTTTTCTTCCCGAAAATAGAAGGAAATCACCAGAATACCTCGTTCACACCATCTTCCCAACCACAACGCTTGCATGACGCCCAATTTTATATACCCTGCTTAATCAACTTATTAATTACAGCCACTTAATACGGTCATGCCACCTTAGGCCCAAGGAGTCCTTGATAATAAAAGGAAAATTGCTTATTTTGACGATGTTGAATGTTTTTTTGTATTAAGAGAGTTTAAAGAATTGGCTTTAAATTTCTGCTGGAAGAACTTTTCTTTGCTTCTTTCCCTTTGGAATCTTTCATTTGATTCTTTTCTGAACTAAATTCATAAATGCTCCCTCATAGCGAAGGAGATGGCAACAACACCCCAAATGAAGGAAAAATATAAAGAAAAGAATACTACAGGCGTGTGAATCTGGTACTAAAACTGAGCTAAACTCAAAAAAGAGGATATCTGGTTCTAAAACACAGGATATGGCCATGTCCCATTGGCTGTCCCAATACAGCTTTAATGTCCTTAACTGGACCATAGCTGAAATTAAGCGAATGGACGCCAAAACGAGAAAGCTTCTCACTTGCTATCGCATGCATCATCCCAAAGCTGATGTTGATCGTCTGTATGTGCCCAGATCCGAAGGAGGCAGAGGATTAGTTCAACTAGAACTGTCCTACAAAACTACAACAATTGGCCTCCAAAGATATTTGGAAACTACAGAAGACTGGATGATGGTATGCGTCAAGGAACATGAAAGTAGTAGCGTCTTTACTCCGTAATAAAAAGAAGCCAACAAATTCAAAATGGAGTTTCAAATGGGCGTAGAGATGCAAGTACAGCACAATACACCGGCTGAAACTGCAAAATACTTAAAAAAAAGACAGCAAAGACGAATGCAACCGACCAGATACAGAAGTGATGGCAAGATAAACCGCTTCATGGCCAATCCTCTGCCCGTACCAAACAAGCTGACGTAGACAAAATCCGTACCAATCAGTGGCTACGTAGTGCAGGGTTGAAAGCTGAAACTTAAGGTTTTATCCTTGCTGCACAGGACCAATGCTTGCTAACTAGGAATTATCAAGCACATATACTAAAATATTGTGTCAGCCCAAAATGCAGATTCTGTGATAAATATCCAGAAACGATTGATCATCTTGTATCAGATTGAACGATGTTGGCACCCACTGAATATAAAACCTGACATGACAGAGTGGGCCAATATCTGCACTGGAAAATCTGCAACTTCTACGGGAAGGAAACTGAAAGAAACTGGTATGAACACCACCCAGACCCGGTTACGGAGATAGGACCTATTACAATTCTATGGGACTACACAATACACACTGACAAAACAATCAAGGCCAAGCGCCCGGATATTGTTATTAAAGACCACAAACAAAAACGGTGCCTCCTTATTTATATGGCAGTCCCTGTAGACTGTAATGTATCTTTGAAGATATTCAAAAAGTTGTCAAAATACAAGGACCTTGAAATAGAAATCTCAAAAAATGTGGCATATGGGAACATCAACAATCCCTGTTGTAGTTGGAGCCCTAGGACTGGTTGGAAAAGATTGCAGTAGACTAATTGAAGGGATTCCTGGAAGTCCATGTCTCAAGGAGATACAAAAAAATTGTTCTGACAAGTACAGCCCACACTTTACGAAGGGCTTTATTTATATCATTTTTTTTTGTCAGTGGAAAGTGTCATGATGCCATTTCTAACCTTAGGTCCCTGGGCGGGACCCGGAAAGAAAATGTGTAAACGCCAGAAATCAAAAAAAAAATAATAATAATAATAATAATAATAATAATAATAATAATAATAATAATAATAATTGAAAATAATTATCATAATCCAAATGAAAAAAAATAATAAAATATGAAATTTAAATGATTTCAAAAATTCTATTAAATTAAAAATTTCGTTTTAAAATTTTCTTAAATTTGGGAAAAAATTTAAAAGATAATAAAAAAAAATATAAAAAATATAAAAATATGAAAATTCAAAATAAAAAAAATTTAAAAAAAAAATTTATTTAGCCATTTTTAATAAAAAATTGAAATAGACAATTTTTAAAAAAAATAAAAATAAAATAAAAAAAAAAAAAAAAAAATAGTAATAATCATTTCATTGTATTTTCAAAATATCAAAAAAAATCCAATCAAAAAAAAAGAAAAAACAATCATTAATTTAATGTTTGAATCAATATTAATTTGTATTTTTTGAAAACAAATTTCAATAAAATAATGTAAATTTATTTTTCATTTTAAAAAAATTGATAAAAAAAAAGATAATTTAAATATATTGATAAATAAAAATTTAAAAAATGAAACATTTTTAAAATAAATTTGCATTGAATTTAAATTTTATAATTTTTAAAATACATTATAAAAATGGAAGAATTATATAATAAAAATTTAAAAATATGATTATCAAAGAAATATTTAAAAAATCTTTAAATGTAAATAAAATATTAATTTTAGTATTTATTTCATCAATCAATAAAAAAAAAAACAATATTTGAAAAAAATTACAAAAAAAAAATGTTCACAATGAATTTTTGGTTTTTTCAAAAATAAAATATAATGATGAAAAAATTTTAAATATCTAAAAAACAATTTAGAAAATTCTTTTTAAAAATCATATAAAATAAAATGTAATAAAATTAAAAATATAAAAAAATACAATTAAAAAAAAAAAATAAATCATCTCAATATGATTTTAATTTTTTAATCAAAAAATCAATGAGATTTTCATTTAAAAAAAATTTTTAAAATATCAAACCTTTATTTTTTTAAAAAAATTTAAAGCAAAAAAAAAAAAAATTTTTATAAAATTTTTTTTTCATTTAATTTTAAAAATTTTTTTAATAAAAAAAAAATATAAAAATATAACAAAATATAATATATAAATAATAATAAAATAAAAAAAATATAAAAAAAAATGAATAAAATACCAATAATAAAAAAAAAAAAATAAATAAAATTTAAAAAATCAATTTTTTTCAATAAATATTTTAGATTAATAAAAATGATCATTATATTTGTTAAAAAAAAAAAAAAAAATTAATTAAAAAATTTTTAATTAATTTTTCACAAAAAAAATAAATAAAAAATTAAAATAATTAAAAAAAAAGCTAATAAAATTTGAAAAAGATATATAAAATAAAAATTTTAAATTTCAATTATCTAATAAAAAAAAAAAAGGAAAAAAAAAAAAAAAAAATTTTTTAACATTAAATTACATTAAAAAAAAATAAAATATTTAAATTTAATATTTTCTTAAAAAAATATATAATTTTTTTTTCATATTTTACAAACAGAAATGTTATATAAAAAAAAAAATTTAAAAAAAAAAAAAAAATAAATATTTATTTATGAAATATTTATATTTAATAATTATTTAATTTTTTAAAAAAAAATGATTCGGAATAAATTTTTTAATAGATAAAATTATAAAATTAAAAATTTTTAATTTCCATTTAAAAATTAATTTGAAAAAATAATAAAAAAACATTATTTTATATATAATATATATATAAATATTTAAATTATATATATATTTCAAATATATGATTTTTATTTAAATTTTTTTATTTGAATTTTTAAACAAATTAAAAACTTCATAAAAGGATATATTTAAAATAAATAAGTAATTTATCAATTTATGGGAAAAAAATTTAAAATAAATATGAAAAAATAATGAAAAAATATTCATAAAAAAATAATTTAATGGTTTATTTAAAATAAAAATAATTCGATCCTTTAATAAATTTTTTAAAAAAAAAAAAAAATAATTTATAGAATGATTATAAGTTTTAAATGAATTTTTAAAATTTCAAAAAATAATGAATATTTTATATTATTATATATAAATTTATTAAAATAAATAAAATTTAAAAAATATTTATAATATATAAATAATACAAAAAATTAATTATGAAAAAAATTTCAACAAAAAAATAAAAAATTTAAAAATTTTTTTTAAAAAAAATAAAAAAATATTAACAATAAAAAAAAAAAAATTATGATTTGGAAAAAAATAAATAAAAAAAATTTTTAAATAAATTATATTTTAAATAAATTTATTTAAATGATATATTTTTATTATAATTGGAAAATATTTAATTTAAATGAATATTAAAATTTTATATTTTTATAAAATAAAAAAAAAAAAATTGTAAATAAAAATTTTTTTATTAAATTTGAAATCAAAAAATTGATTATAAATTAAAAAAAAATTATAAAATTATAAATATTTAATTTACTTAAAAAAATTTTAAAATTTATTTTTTTTTTTATTTTTATATTTAAAAAAAAAAAAGATTAAATTAAAAAAATTAAATAAAATAATAAATTATAAAAAAAATAAATCATTATTATAAATATAAATAAAAAAAAAAAAAAAAAAAAAAAAAAAAAAAAATTATTATTAATTATTTTAATTTATCATAAATTTATCAAAATTTTAAAAATAAAAATTAAAATCTATAAAATAAAATATATTAAAAAAATAAAAAAATAAAAAAAACAAAAAAAATTTTTGAAAAAAAAAATAAATTTTAAAAATTGAAAAATAAAAAAATGAAAAAATTTTTTTTTTATAAAAATTTAAAAAAATAATAAAAAAAATATAAAATTTTTTAAAGGTTATATATTTTTTTTTTTAAAAAAAAATTTGAAAATTTTAAAATATAAAAAAATTTAATAACAAATAAAATAAAATAAATTATGAAAAAAAAATAATTAAAAATTTTAAAAAAAAATTTAAAAAAAAAAAAAAAAAAAAAAAAATTTTTTAATTTTTTTT